ATAAAGCCTTACATTCTATACCAGATTATTGTTTAAATATAATGAACAATTGATGATGTGCCTTTGCCAATTATTGTAATTGTGTTTGTGCCAATAAATATTTGTATTTGTATTTTCAAACACAGTGTTTTTGGAATGGGTCCTTCTTAAAATCGGGAATATTTAATTAAGCCCTGAAAAAAAAAACCCCAGATGTTATGGCAAAACGATAATTACTATTTTTCTTATTCATTTAATCAAAATGTAAAATTTTGCCCTTTCAAACTCTGTATTTCCAAACTTATATGTGTATGATATTCTTCAAATGCATTTCCTTTTATTTGAATTATTTATAAGGGTGGGGAGTCCTTCAAAATTTAATTGACAAGCAAAACAACCAATAAAATACTGGCCAGGTAGTTATGGTTTTATCAGTTGAAATGGGGGGAGAGGGTGTTTACCTCCCCAAAAAGTCTGAAAAAAGCCAAAAAACCCTATCCGAAGGGGGGGGGGGCTTCCCAAATATTCCTACAAGCAAATATATACACAGTCACATAGAAAGAGAGAGATTTATGAATATGAGAGCATGCAGCGCACATACAATATGCATGGGTTTCTGCCAATGTTTTTGTCTAATTTAGATTTAAAACTTAAAAAAATAAAATTTGATCCTACAAAACTAGAACTCTTTTTCAATTTATAACTAATAGTATGAATTCATGATGATATCACTAGTACATGGGGGAGGGGGGAAGGTAAATAAATATTTAATTATCAATAATTCAAAAGCTAAATTGTTATATAAATGTATGCATTCTTTTGTCATGTGATGAATTTCATGATTTGTTATCATTTCAGATGCAATCTGAGCCTTGTTCTGAATTTCAAAATCTCGCCGGCCCCTTTGACAACACCTGCACAGCTGCAGACCTGCCTACCCTTCCGCTTTTGGCGTAATTCTTCCTCTTTTTACCACAAAATTACGCTATTACGCCGCTGATATTAATTTTACGCTTTTGATATTTTGGTTAAAATTCCATTATGAACATCTCAATTTAGAGTTAAAGTACGACATGCTGAAATGAAATGCGAAATTCTTATCAAAGTAATTCAAAGAGGACCAGTTCAATAAAGTACGTAATATACCCAGTAGTTATGTTCCCCAAACGAAGTTGGGGAACATATTGTTTTTACTCTGTTTCTTATTATGTTCCCCAAACGAAGTTGGGGAACATATTGTTTTTACTCTGTTTCTTATTATTATGTTCCCCAAACGAAGTTGGGGAACATATTGTTTTTACTCTGTTTCTTATTATCACATCCAATTCTATTCGAATTGGAGGCTTTTATCGAAGAAAGTGTTAATTTCCCATATTACAAAATCCATAGATCCGCCTATAATCCCTATAATCAATTAGAGTTATTCCCCCTGAGTCAACTTCCGTTAATCCTTTTTCATTCACAGACTATATGAAGGAGGTTGGTGCAATTTTAAGGGATAATTTTTTGCAAATTTAGATATTTAGAAAAATAGTTAATGGGTATAATACATATGGATGTTTTTGTTATCTATTTGGTAGTTGTTTGCTGCAATCAATTTAGGAGTATTTATTCATGATTTCCCGATGATCCTTGATTTTATAATGATAATTTTTTCTAGCGTCTGTTGTGGCCATTTTGTATTAGCCGACCACGTTGTATCTATATAAGTTTTCATTAAAACAGATTATATGATGTAAGTATGTGATAAGATATAATGATTATTAAGTCAATTATCTTGATCGTTAGGATTTATAGCATATTGCTTTGGCTTAATTAAATTTTCTTTGTTTTATAAATTGATCCGACACGTTTCAGATTTCCATACCAAGGGGAGATAAAAAAAAATAAATAAATAAACAAATAAATAAATAAATAAATAATAATAATAATAATAATAATAATAATAATAATAATAAAATAATAATAATAAATAAATAAATAAATAAAAAATTAGGCTAACTTTATAAAAAGAAATAATAAGGCATGTGAGAATGAGGAGATAATTAATTTAAATTTCTTCTTACAAATATAAAAAATAATATATATATATATATATATAAATAAAGAATTTTCTTTTCTTTTCTGAACACGATGCCACCGAGAGCTAAGAAGCGTAGAATGGCTCAACCAGCAGCGACTGCCACACAGCAGCCAAGTGGTAGTCAGGCTACGGTGTCTGTGAATTCCCAGACGTACTCGTCGACGGCGTCGGCAGGATGTCCAGTACATGTACCAATACCACCGACCCAGGCTCCATCAACTTCCGTTGTGGCGGAAGCGCAACCCATGTTGACGACAAGTGCAGGGCCATCCTTTGCACCGACCACCTCTGGAGCAACAATCTCAACTCCAACAGATGTTGGTACCACCCCTGCTCCTGTCCCATCAATACATATGATTGGTATGAATGTTTCTAGCACAGTCAAACAACGTATTATTAGTGGGCAGTATATTGATTTGGCCACATTGGTAACACCAAAATCAGGGTCTGATGAAAAGAAATTAGTTATGAATAGTATGGGTGAGATAATTTATAAAGATGCCAACCCAAAAAAGGTAGAAAATATTGAGCAATGGACTGACCTTATGCTCATATTTGCAAGTGTGTACTTGAGTGCACATCCCGCCAAGACTCTTGACCTACTTAAGTACATACAGACCGTAAGAATGGGTGTTAGCAGGGGGGCTATATCTTGGAAAGAATATGATACGCAGTTTAGGCTGCGCAAAGAGCAAAATCCTGTGTCTTCTTGGGGTGAAATTGACTCGGAATTATGGTTGATGTATATGCATTCTGGGCCCGCTTATAACGTAACAAATGCACCCAAAACCAATAATGATAAATGCTTCAATTTCAATTACAAGGGATCTTGTGACAAATTCCCATGCATGTATAAACACAGTTGTATTCGATGTGGTAGTAACCATCCACAGATACATTGCCTTACACAAGCCTCAAACACTGGGTCCGCACAAATATTTCGCCAACAAAATTCAAGTGGTCAATTCTATGGACAGTCAAGTTTTCGTCCACAAACCACCAATGCAAATACCAACTATAAGGGGTATTCAACCAATGCAAATACCAATTATAGGGGGTATTCCAGCAGCAACACCCAGCGCCCCACCTACTCAAGACCAAGATTCCGCACCCCGCAATCTATGGCGTCTAGGTTCAACGCCTATTAATGTACACGCCCTTAAAAAATGTCTCGTCCACTATCCTAACAGAATCATAGCAAATCGCCTAATCCAAGGGTTCTCTCAAGGGTTTAAACTTCATTATCATGGGCCTAGATTACCAATTCAATGTAATAATTTGAAATCCGCGGAGGATCATCCTAATGAACTTAAAGAGAAAATCGATAAAGAAATTGAAATGGGGAGGATACAGGGTCCTTTCACGAAAATACCAATTTCTAATCTTAGGTTATCTCCAATTGGGTTAGTGCCGAAGGGGGATAATTTGGGCTGGCGCCTAATAACGCACCTCTCTTTCCCGAAGTTTAGTAGTGTAAATTCATACATAGATCCTTGTGAAACTGCTGTACAATATTCATCCTTTGATTCAGTGATTCAGATGATTGCTAAATTAGGGAAGGGGGCTTTCATAGGTAAGCGAGATATAAAATCCGCATTTCGACTTCTTCCAATATTTCCCGGCGATTTTGATCTCCTGGGTTTTAAATTTCAGGGTAATTATTTCATAGACAAATGTTTACCTATGGGGTGCTCCATTTCGTGTAAGGTTTTCGAGGATTTTTCTACAATTTTGCAGTGGGCTACGATACAGCGCTCTAAAACATCAACAATGGATCATTATCTAGATGATTTTATATTTGCTGGGAGGGATGCCCATTCCTTTCAAGATCTTATGTCGAATTTTCAAGACGTCTGCGATGATATAGGTGTTCCTATTGCCGAGGACAAATCTGAAGGCCCTACTATGGTTATGACATTTTTAGGTTTTGAGATAGATACTTATCATATGCTAGTTAAGATCCCCAATTCAAAATGCTTAGAGCTACAGGGTATTTTACACCATCTCGTTGTTCAACGCAAGATGACACTCCAACAATTACAATCTGTTTTAGGTAAACTGAATTTCTTTACAAGAGCCATAAGACCAGGTAGGGCATTTCTGCGTCGGCTTTATAATGCTACAATAGGGGTTTCAGAATTACATTATCACATAAGGATAACTCAATCAATGCGACAGGACTTGTACATGTGGATTAATTTTCTTGAATCATTTAATGGGACTGTGTATTTTTTAGATATTGAGTGGACGTCAGACAACAACATTAATTTTTACACAGATAGTTCCGGTTCGTCTTACTTGGGATGTGGTGCTTATTTCAAAGGGGAATGGTGTTTTTACCCTTGGCCAGAGACCTGGGCGTCCAATGACCTACTTAAAGACATGACCTTTTTAGAGTTAGTTCCGGTGGTCTTGGCCGTCTATTTATGGGGTAACAAACTCGCTAATAAAAAGATCATTCTCCATATAGACAATCAAGCTGTAGTCGCTATAATAAATAAACTCACTTCTAAATCAGAGCGGGTCATGAAACTACTTAGACCATTTGTCCTTGCTTCTATGAATTATAATATTCTGTTTCGTGCAGTTTACATACCAAGTAAAGACAATGTAGTTGCTGATTCAGTTTCTCGTAAGCAGTGGGCCAGATTCCGACAAGCAGCTCCACATGCCAGGGAACACCCTTGCCCAGTGCCTCTATCTTTCCGCAACATCATCTCCAGCCTGAGTTTGCTAAACTTTTAGACGCCTCAGTATCTGAAAACACACATAAATCTCATCGGGCTGGAATGGCAGCTTATTACAAAGTATGTAGACTCATTGATTGCACGCCATGGCCCCCTACATTAAACTCAGTCGTGCAATTCGTTTTGCATTCATCATCATCCGGCCTCGCATATGGTACCGTGAGGTCATACTTGTCAGCCATTTCATTTTATTGTAAATTGCAGAGTGTTCACGATCCAACCCCAGAGTTCTTGGTTACAAAGTTATTGCAGGGCATGAAACGTTTGAGACATAAAGTAGATACTAGACTGCCAATAACGAAAACAATTTTGCTAAATATTATTCAAGTTCTGCCCATAATATGTACCAATGCTTTTGAAACAGCTCTTTTCTCGGCTGCATTTTCCCTGGCATTTCATGGATTTTTAAGAGTTGGCGAATTAACAGTTAATACAAGAGAAGGTGATCAACAAAACACAATTCAATTCGACAATTTGTCCATTAATCACGAAACGCAATCTCTCTTACTGACTATCCGGTATTCGAAAACGGACCAGTTAGGTAAAGGCACAGTACTTCAAATAGATAAGCAGGGTGGTGTAGCATGTCCATATCAGCTCATTACTAAATACGTCAGCATCCGTCCAGAGGGTTCAGGTCCATTGTTTCGACACTTCGATTTATCCCCACTCACACGATATCAATTTACGGGGGTACTTTGTAAGGCAGTAAAGCACCTAAATTTGCCTGGTATCTCAGGATACAAATCTCACTCTTTTCGTATCGGCGCGAGTACTGATCTCGCGTTAAAAGGATTTTCAACTCATGACATTCAGAGATCTGGTCGTTGGAAATCTGATTCTTACAAATCCTACATTCGCATACCAAAGTTTTAATCTAATTTTAGATATACAGACAATATGGTTGGTGGGTTCATCAATAATCAAGCACGCCTTTTTGGAAGCTGTATTAAGACCAGGTGGTACAAATTTGACATTAGAAAGAAAACACATCTCACTGTGGTGGCAGGGTTATAGTGGCCTCCAGTTAAGTAAAACTAAACAAAAGATTAGAACTCTTGGAAAGGTGGGCCCTGTACCTAATTTCATCCTTATACATTGTGGGGGGAATGACTTGGGCAATGTATCGATCAGAAAAATAAGGGTGGTTGCAAAGCAGTTGGTTTTATTTCTAAGGAATCACTTTCGAAACAGTAGGATTATATGGTCATTTATACTTCCGCGTCTCCAATGGCGCTATTCAGCAAATTTAAAAGCTATGGAAAATGCACGCAAAAGGGTTAATTCTGGTATAGCTGCAATTGTCTTGCAATCTGGGGGCGCAATAATTCGCCATTCAGACATTAAACCTGATCCAGCTTTATTTTTACAGGATGGGGTACACTTATCCTCGTTGGGGAATAACATTTTTCTACACTCTTTCCAGGGGGGACTTGAGGCTATCGTTGCGCATGGTCAATCCTGCTTTCCCAATTAGCAAGGGTCCTGGGTACGGCTGTTCGTATATGCCGCTCTACCCCCACCATGGTGGCGGAGTTCCCTGGATGAGTTTCATTCTGATCCTCATCTCAGGGAACTTGTGGCGTATAAGCGGCATTTTGGTAATTATATTGTAAGCTTTGACCTCTGCACCTCCCAGGGTCAATGCTTTCTATATATATATATGGTGAACTTTGAACTTTGATGTTGTGAACTTTGAACTTTTGATGTTGTATGAACTTTGACTTACCACTATATGAACTTTCACCTTTGGTAATGACCTTGATATATGATTTGCTTTGATGTTGAATGTTGTTTGTGCATTTGATTGGGGCATGCTCTTGTCTTGGCTGCCCATTGCCCATATGATATTGTTTGTTTTGCATTTGAAACTAAATAACAGCCGTGCCCATAATATCGCCACACTTTAATAAAATTAATTTCAAGTTACCATTTGTTTGAGTTACACTTTTCTGAGATAATATCACATCCAATTCTATTCGAATTGGAGGCTTTTATCGAAGAAAGTGTTAATTTCCCATATTACAAAATCCATAGATCCGCCTATAATCCCTATAATCAATTAGAGTTATTCCCCCTGAGTCAACTTCCGTTAATCCTTTTTCATTCACAGACTATATGAAGGAGGTTGGTGCAATTTTAAGGGATAATTTTTTGCAAATTTAGATATTTAGAAAAATACCCTCCTCACCCAACCCTTATTCGAATAGATTTTTGCGCTGTGTTTTTCTTTCTATTGCAGCTGTCCTACAAAAGGATCACTTAATATCAAATGGTACGGCTGTTACAAGAAAAAGTCTACCTGGAGACCAACTTAGATGAACTTTTCGCAAACCTTGGCCACTGCTCCTCCCAGGGCCAATGTTTCCTAAACAGTGACTGATATATAAACGACAAGTAAAGAAGGCACATAAGCGGCATGTAATTCGTAATAAATATATCGTAAATATCACCTCTGGCGTATAAGCGGCATTTTGGTAATTATATTGTAAGCTTTGACCTCTGCACCTCCCAGGGTCAATGCTTTCTATATATATATATATGGTGAACTTTGAACTTTGATGTTGTGAACTTTGAACTTTTGATGTTGTATGAACTTTGACTTACCACTATATGAACTTTCACCTTTGGTAATGACCTTGATATATGATTTGCTTTGATGTTGAATGTTGTTTGTGCATTTGATTGGGGCATGCTCTTGTCTTGGCTGCCCATTGCCCATATGATATTGTTTGTTTTGCATTTGAAACTAAATAACAGCCGTGCCCATAATATCGCCACACTTTAATAAAATTAATTTCAAGTTACCATTTGTTTGAGTTACACTTTTCTGAGATAATATTATTTTTCTTCTTCCTGGGTACTTTTTTGTCCGGGAATGATCTTGTAAACTACACATCCGACGTAGGTAAAACCTTTTTAGGGTTTGCAGACATGTCATGTAGATTTGCGGAATCAAGGTCATTTTGCGCGCACGTGCTTGCAAGAGCGCGCACGTGCAACACGTGAAATGACCAATATAATAGATATAGCCGTAACTTTTCAATTTTTTTATGAAATGGGTTGAAACTCAGAATATAAGTATATATTAGTATTATAGACAAGAAGATATGGTCAAATTATCATGAACTCACGCGCATGCACGTGCGCTTCGCTCTGATTGGCTGAAACTAAAGTCTCAATATCTTTCGTGTTTTTTGACAAAATACTTTGAAATTTTAAATTTAGTCATATATTAGAAGGTTCTACAAAATAATATATACTCAACAAATCAAGAAACGCATATTGCTTTACTCGTCAAAGAAATTTTTCATATGTACATGGAACAACTATTTTTTATATCATTGGATACCTGTGACCTATTTAAAGGACAACATGGGGTTTTGAAACCCAAGTGTTGAATTATCTCCCTTGATTAATTTGTTTATTAAAGTAGTGTTTTTCATGATTTCTTCTGAATTGGACGTCTATTTTCGTTGATATTTTGGATTTAGAGAACCTATTAACACTCCTATTAAACCCATATTTAAGATTTGATTGCAGTGTTGATGCTGCAATGCCACGCCGAAACAAAGATGAACACAACCAGGCTAACGATGATACTAAACGGAGCTACGCAACAGGAGGTTGCAACTGCATTTAGAATACAACAACGGGCCTTGCAGCCGTTAAACTATCGTCGAAAGACCAAGAATTAGCCGTCCGCAGGTAACAACACCCAGGCAGGACCGTCTGACCCCCCCCCCCCCCCTTCAGCACCTCACGCGATTCAGAACTTGCTGTAAAAACTGCTGCTACATTTGCTAGATGAAAAAATCAGCACAAAAGTGCATAAATTGTTCGCAAGAGACCTAAGGAGCTGGTATTCGTGCATGACGTCCGTACATTGGAAATCCACTAGTGCTTAGACGTAGCAAAGGACATATGGATTAGTTTAGACGGTATGCGCCAAGAATTTGGAGGCATCGACCATGACATAAACTTCACTTTTCTACTCGCAACACAGGAAATGTTTAATTTTTATCAAAACACTCTAAAATCACTTTTTAAAAAAAATAAGGATTAAACTGAAAACTTAGATTATCGTGTTTAATCTGAATATGCGTTTCTTTTTTTGTTGAGTATATAAGAAGTTTCATGAAAGCACGCGCATGCACGTGCGCTGCAATCTGATTGGCTCAAACTTTAAATGCCCTATAACTTTCTTAGTTCTCAATAAACCAGGACGAAATTTAGAATTTGAATAGATATAATGCATTCCTACATTATGCTACTATCAAAATTGAATGCAAGCACGTGCGCATGTGCAATGCGAAAAATGACAAAAATACTTGAAAAATAATAAAATTTATATCTGAATGTATTATTTTCTTTTGATTCTCAGGAATTCTTTAGCCAACATGCCATTATCATCTTTCATATGCATGCAAGTGCGCGCACATGCAAAATGTTAAATGATATATACAGTGTAGTTGATATCATTGTAGCTTTTATATTCTTAAATGAAATCCTTCGACAGTGAGCGAATAAAAAAAAGTATTACAGGAATAAGGCACAAAATGGGATTTGGGGAGCGTTTGGGGAACATCTGTAACGGTCCCCGTTACAATTAACACTAGTTATTATTATTATTAAGGTCTTCCGTCTTCACGGAAGACCTTATAGTGATTCTATTGTTTCTTATTATTATTATTCTTTTTTTTTAGACAAAATTTTGTGCAGGCGATTTCTCGTAAACTATGCGGTGGATTTCAATGAAAATTTCAGGAATTATTACCGGCCGCCAGGAGGCGGTCGGTTATATGATATGAAAGTTTTAAGTCGCTGTGCGTTTCTGCGGAGTTAACAATTTAAATAAAAATATTCAACATTCATATTGCTGGCGAATCAATATTAAACAAAGATTGTCTAAATGTTTAGAAAAAGCACAATAATCATAAAATTAAATTTTATAAGTAATATCATTCAAAGGCTAATATTTCATCCAATCCTGATAGACAAACTCTGATATAACTGAAGTGCGGAGAAAATTAGTACGAGTGTTAGGCATAGTCTAAAACAAAGACCGCGTTGTAAATCAACAATTTTACTTTCTTTTTTAAAACAGGATCTGCTGTATTTTTTTTAAATGAAGTGTATATATAAACATTTCCTATGGATGTTTTCTCAAAAATATGATGAAATATTGATTTCTTAAAAGCAAAGAATATTACGACATGTTAATCCAGGAGACTAGGATAGAGCACGTTTTACAATGTGCCAAACATTTTCCCGCCACATCTCAACACCAAAACAAAGAGATTGAAAGAGAAGAAATAGAAGGAGTTGGGGGGGGGGGGGGTTAACATCCTCTAAGAGAGAGCGAGGAGCCCCACATATTATATATTTGTTGCGTTTTTATTAAGGTAAAACTATAGCTAAGTTTAAACTTAAGTTTTGTACGTTTTATGTAAAAACTACTTAAACAGCAAACTCACCAGAGTTCGTTAAGTTGTACCAAACTGAGTGCAGAGACGCAGAGAACTATGCACAGTTTATATTGCCTATGTACATGTAATATTGTAAATGCATTATGTATGAAGAAAATCGGCATTGTCGCATGCATTTTTTTTTTCGTGTCACGAGGATATTTTAACAGATAAATATAAGAAATCTTTTAAAAAACAGCAAATTTCAGTTTTTAAAACAATTTCAACAGTTTTATAAATTGGTTTGCGGCCGATTTTTGACGCTTGCGTCAATATGTTTCTTGTAGGTCATTATATGAATTTTATATAAAATTCCGTTTGTTGGAAAATTCGCTACCAGTGCCAAGTTATGGGCAATTTCCTGATTTTAAAATGCAATTTTGTCTTCGAATGTTCTCGAAAACGGCTCAAGATATTAACTGGAGACTTGTGATAGATGATGGACCATGAGTTATAGATGTGCAATTTTGCCTCCGTTTGCGTCGTCAGTACTTCCGGTTGCTACAGGAAGTGAATTCAAAATATGCCCTTTTTCAACTTTTTTTGTTTTTCAATATTTTTCTTTGATATAATCAATTGTAATTAAGATCTTACTGGAAAGGCAAAATATATAATTTATTTAAGAATTGATTAATCCACACACTAGATATTCGTATTTAAAAATCTGAAGCGTGTCCAAGATGGCGGCGGTCTCTGTAAACTCCGCCATTAAGCAAGTCGGGTTCTAGAAGGTCAGCTGAGCGTTTAGATGAAAGAAACTTCTACCATAAAGATTTATGAAATGTAAAGGATTCGTTAGATTGCTACATCGCAATTACGTTGCATTGAGTATTGTTTTAATATGAGGTTTCCTCAAACTTCTATTGAAATTGCTTTTGTCTGCATCTCATAGTAGAATACAACATGACTACAAGTGGAAATACGATGACTACAGTCTTTTGTTTTACACCAGGGAAAACTAATCCTAAACCACGGTTATAAGTAATAGCTTTTCAAGAAACTTGCCTGACTTAATATTCACTATGTTTCTGAAGTATAACTTGACTTCTGTTTATTTTACCTCGCAGGCTTATGACATATTAAATGAATAGAAAAGACAAAAATAAGAAAAATATTTTTTTAAAAGATTGTTTATTAAAGGTTATATAAATATTCTTGTAATAAATGCAAGTTATTGAACATGAAGAGTATCAGAATCCTTGACCGTCGGAGGGCGAGTGATTTTTTTTTTCAGTGAAACATTCCAGTGTTTTCATGAAC